GCTCGAAAACAAGCTAAAAAAGTACCAGAGCGCTGATAGCGGAATTTGAAAAGGCTGGAGGCCGAAGGGCTTAATTTATGAAGAGGGTGGCGAGGACATTTTCGAGGCCCGTCTATTTCGCAGATTGTTCCAAAATTCAAAATCCAAAACAGCGGGTGCAAATGTATCTTTTCTGCGGCAGAAATTCAAAACTCGTATCTTAGTCGGGACAGTCTGACCGCAGTCGGAAACTTGGTTTGTGAGATGTCATTGGCCAAATGAGGTTGAGATGTCCACGATGCATCAGCAAGTATTCAATGCATTTCAACTAGTCGGAGAATCGAGAGTTTTGGGCCAATCGGAGAATCGGTGAGCCAGGAAATCCGAGAGGAGTGTCCACCAACCAATAAACGAATGAATATGGGAACGAAGGCATTGGCAGCAAACGCTGAAAGTTGGATTCAAGTTAGATCGACAAGGTCGAGCGCGGCAGATGTGCAAACGTGCTCTCTTCTTGCTCGCGTGAATTTGGCCCAAAGCACGCCGTAGAAGATTATGAAAAAGCAAGCTTTACTCTTGAAATTCCCTCGACAACATAGAGTTTTGAAGGGCGTCGGAAGGATTTCTCAAAAAGGAAACTCGCCACATGTATCGCCCACTCGTCAACCTGCTCCCGACCGCCAACACGGCCCCATCTAAATGACCATTTTTATTCCGCTGGACTCTTCAGCGGGTATCCCTACCTCACCCTCCTTCCTGCAAGTCTCCGCGAACCCTACCCTCCAGCTGCACAAAGCAATCAAGGCGATTTTGAAAGCAAAGCGAATTGTAATCGTTTGCGGTCCGTTCTCTTTCAGTTGCTCTTACATTTGAACCCAAGCTCATGTAAAAATCCACTGTGTAGGGGCCGGAATTTCCGTGAAGGCAGGGATCCCGGATTTTAGGTCTCCAGAGGGGCTTTTCCAGACTTTGAAACGCGATAATCCCAAGGAGGTTCTGGCTTCTGGGAAGGATCTATTCGATGCCTCAGTATTCCATGTGAGTTCTTTCTGCCATTGAATTGTCAAAGAGGGTCAGGCGAACTCGTCCTTGTTGGACCCGCTGGTCACAACGGGAATTCATCGTCCTTTGTCTTTGAAACGCGTCTAACACCTGTTTCCCTTGTTTACAGTCCGAGAACACCACATCTTTATTTTACCAAATGATTGCTCGCCTGTCTGAGCTTTCTAATGCTGCCGAACCTACGCCATTTCACAATATTCTCCGTGCCCTCGACGACAGGGGCAAACTGCTCCGAGTTTACTCGCAAAACATCGACAGCCTAGAACAAAAATGTGGCCTCTCCTTTGGTGTTCCAGAGTTTCAAGAGCGGCGCTCAAAACCTCGCACCCCGAAATCCAAGGCTAAAACCGTCGCCGTCACAGTAGAAATCCCCGCTGAGCCCGTCGCCTCCGCCAGCCGTCTCCCCACACCACCGCCCGAAACTCCCCGCTGCATTCCACTCCACGGCACCCTCCAAAATGTGCATTGCCAAACCTGCAACCATTCCTTCGCGCTTGCCGACCACATCACGGCACTTGAGCTCGGCACGCCCCCCGCGTGCCCGGAGTGTACCGCTATGGAGGAGACGCGCCAGCTCGTCGGAAAACGCGCAAGGGGCGTCGGTCGACTTAGACCCTCGGTCGTGTTGTACAACGAGGCTCACAAAGACGGGGAAGGCGTTGGTGACGTCGTGCGCCGCGACCTGCTTGGGCTATCTAACTCGAAGGGCAAGGGGCGCAGCGCGAGCGCGGACCTGCTGCTCGTCGTAGGGACGAGCCTGCGCGTGCCGGGCACGAAGCGCATGGTGCGTGAGTTTGCGAAGGCGGTACGTGTTGGGAAGGACGGGAGCGGTGCAGGTTCGAATCGACCTAGTCCCTCGTTGGCGACGTCGGCTGGAGCCGCCGAGGAGGATAAGGAACCGCCATTCAAGACGGTGTATCTGAACCTCGATTTTCCCGTGCCGACGCGCGAGTGGGAGGGTGTATTCGATGTATGGTTGCAGGGCGACGCGCAGCTGTTTGCGGAGATGTTGCAGGCGGAAATCGACAAAGAGACGCAAGCGAAGCAGGCGGCGAGCGAGAAGCGGCGTCGGAAAGAGCAGGGCGACGACTGGGACGGACGAGCCGATGCGGCTAATGATGGGAGTGGGAGCGGGAAGAAACGCAAGGCGACCAAAGGAGGATTCAAGGAGAGCCCCAAGCGGCGGAAGATTGCTAACGCTCCTGTGTTGCCCCCGACGCCACCGTGCAGCATACCGACGCTGGCGTCATCACAGTCCCCTAGAAAGATCTTCCTGACTATCCCTCCACGCCACCGGAGGCTTATCCCAGAAGTCTACATCACAACGCGGCCGTCGCTTTCTCCCCGCCTGCCGCCCACTCCCGAGAGCACGCCCCCGCGCCGTACATCGAGCAGGGCTACGCGCACGAAAGCGAAGACAAAGATCGCGCTGAAGAGTCTGACCGCCACTCCGAGTTCCACCCCCACCCTTACTTCCATGGAGTCCGACAGTGATGATATCCTCCCCACGTTCCACGAGGACGATGTGTTATCCCTCACACTAGTGCGCGAGGCCCAATACGGACTACGGACCTCCCGTTCGAGCTCGCGTTCGCGCGGATAGAGTGTGATAACGGATTGTAAATTATTGTATAAAGTGCATATTTAGCATACATACCTTGTAGTACACATCACAACGTATATCCAAGAACACAGACTGGGCGAAGAGGCGGCGCCATTTTGGACATTTCTTTTAAAACCATTTGGACACCAGACAGCAGCTGATTTTTTAGAGCCCGGATTGAAAGACTTCGCGAAATAACACGCATGCGTAGGTCGTTACAATTGTGTCCATAAAAAATACATACGATAGACCACTCGATCTAATTGCTTGATTTCATACGCTATACGCGACATGCACCCGCCAGACCCGGCCATCCCGCGAATAAAGGTTCACCAGCCGCAACTCGGCTACAGAACGAACGACGATGGCTGCTGCTTTGAGGCCAGAAGGATTAAAAGGAAAGTCCTCGTGGTTAGAGTCAGGATGCTTCCCGTGATACAAGTTCATCAGCGAAGGTAACATACCCTGAGAAACGAGTCAAATGCAGACGCCACCGCGTACGCGAGATTGAAGCGCGAAATTTGCCGGTGAGGGCAGTTTCCCGCGATAGACTGGACGAAGGTGCTGTACCCCTTTGCCTGTCAAAGATAATAAAAAAGTGTCAGAAAGACGCGTAAAGCAACAGTAAGAGAATGTGCACCTCCAGTGTCAGGAAGACTTGCTCTACGCCGTTATCCAGAACCGGCGCGTCCGGATCTTTTAAGCACGGTCGGAAGTCAAGAATGTCCGCCATGGAGACACCAAAGGCGCGTCCAGAGTAGGCGTCGGACGTTGGCTGGAACGCAATCATGGTGTGCCCGTGCGCTGGAGGTAACGGAGTGGGGATCTGTTGCTTGGATGAGTATGGGGACTCGGTTGATGTTGGCCCCCTGGCAGCGGCGGCGGCACGGCGGCGATCTTCGATGTCGCGGTCCAGGGCGCAATGTTGACATGTCGACTGGCGCACACGCGGTCGCGAGGCTTCCCGATCATATAAGCGGGGCGACCCGGCGGTGGTCATGGCCTGGGGTACATATGAGCAAAAGAACTGAGGAGTGTGTGGGATAAGTACAATTGGTGGTAGTCGCTGATGAGAAAATCTTAATTATTGCGTGCATTGCAGGAAAGAGGGGAGACGAAGAACTCACGCCAGTTTCCCTTGGTTCAACCGGTGGTTCCGACCAACTCTGGGGTCTCTAATACAGAATGATCAGAGAAAGATCTGGCCAACGAAAAATGCTTACTTACAGGGCGGAAAGGTGCAGGTGAATGCGAGGGTGGGATGTGGCTACCCCGGCGAGCTTGATACTAAATTGTTCGTAATGAAAATGTAGCCGTAGCATTGTGGCAAGGGACATACGTTTGAGGAGTCGTGTTCATGTGCCTCTGCAAAGAGTAGACTCTTCTGATTAGAAATATCATTTTCCTGATGGTGGAGGTGTGCGAATCAGAGTGAATGCATTAGTTATAACTTACGCTCGTTGAATAATTGTGCCTTGCGTGCACATTGGGAAATATGGATGGGCTGCTCAACACATCCTGCCGAAAGCTGTAAATCAATATAATATCACAGCAAGAACACGAACCAAAGGGCGGGAAGATGTTGATGAACGTGCCGAGGGGCGGGGGCCGACCTGTAAAGGAGGAGGCGGAGAAGGGCGTGGGTATCCTGACGACGTTGATAAGGCATTTCTGTCAGGGCCAGGCTGCCAGACACGTAAGGGCGGAGAATCACAAGAGCAGCCAGCACGCACAAAGCCAGGCCAAGCCGAGGGTCTACGGACAGGGGGAGTCGAGGGTTGAGCCAGCTGCCGCTGGAGAACTTCTGCGAATAACACGTTGATTGGGGGGAGGGTAGGCGATTCATGGGAATTCTGGAGGAATGAGGGGGCCACCAGGAGCACCGATGATCAAAGACATACGGAGGATCGGGGAAGTGCCATACAGTCCACAAAGAATTCCACAGAAAACAAAGAAAGTCACGGCTGGCGCAAGCAAAAAAGAACTAGCCAACAGGACGCGTGGCAAAACCCTCAAAGATGGGGTTCCGCACAAAGGTAGACGGTCCGAAGAGACACAAGATCATCATATACTGAATCTTGATCAGTTACTTGATGTCGGTTGCTGCACAAGTTGGCTACGTTTGTATCCAACGTCAACGTCGGCAGAATGAAACATTATCCTGCCAGCACTGGCAGCGCCGTACGGAAAAATACGCGACCCTTGTTTCAACCATCGCTGATAGCCCAGCTAGTGCCTGCTAGTGCTCAGCTTCACTAGAGGTCAACTATGCGTCTTTGTTGGATTCACGGCTTTCTAGTTTCCATCAACTTGGACGCAGGGGGAATCTGTAGCTACCTCTGGCTGGCAGCCATATGGCCGTGTGGCAAAATGGTTACTGCGTTGCTTTCCGATCATTTGGTAGGCAGAGACTGTGGGTTCGAGTCCCACCATGGTCGTTTCCTTTTGCTACTTTGAGATTTGATCTGCACGTCACCCACAAAGAAAGATAGAGCAATGGCACCCTCCAATCGTCGTCCTGCGGAGGCCAACGTACCATGTGTCTAATTGTACACTACGCTCCTATAGATAACAACGGCGCGTTCGAATTCGTTGGGGGAACGTACGGGGCGAGACTCGATGAGCGCTAATGTCCCGGATCTCAGGGATGGTTTCGTCGAACACACCCAATACCTGCTTTCGCGAACAGCGGCGCCGCCTTCCCCGAGGACACGAGCCTGACCACTGGCATAAAGCAGCTAGCCTCATCTTCCACAGCGCTCCCACGACAAAAGTGGACAAAAGTCTGTACAACCGGTATTAGCGGAACAGCTTCCGTTCGACACCGAGATTATACATATCATCCCCGAGAAGTAGTGAGCTTTCCGGTGCGCGCGCGATGGAATTGAAAGAATAAAGACAAGTCGCTTGATTGAACAGTTTGGATTGTCTACAAAACACTTATGATGGTACGACGCTGCATTTCAACGGGCTATACATATCTACCAGTATCACCTTCTCCCGAGGGAGGCCACATTCATTTAAAAGTCGGCGTGTTGAACGTATCGTCGTGATCTACAGTCAACGATTAGCACACCGTAACAAGAACGCGAGAAAGGAGACAGAGGAAGGAAGAATGTTCGCAAAAAAAAAGAAAAGCCTTTGCCATTAGCATGAACACAATCCCTCTCCTTCGCCACAAAAAGCTTCATATTGGATATATTTTCGTGCGCGCTGACCGCGACTTTGGGGTTCGAGATGGCGGCGGTGGCGACGTGGAAGCGCGAGGTGTGGTTGTCATCTATATCATAAGGTTCAGGTTAGCGTATGCAACGTCGTGCCCTGAGGCTGCCCAAACCACTCAGTTCGAATTCCAAAGAAAGAACGGACACGCACCCTCTCCAGCCTCGGCCTCCCAAAGTTCAAACAACAGCCCCTTTAGCTCAATCGGGATTAAAGTGCACCGACCGGCTTGTCCGGCGTGAAGAGCGAGTCGAGTCGAGGATCATGAGGTCCGACGCGCACGCGCAGGGAGGGGAGCCTCGTGCGCGCACGACGAAGACGCTGTGTGGGTGATATGATAGGGATAGGGATCAGAAGAACGGAAGAAAGAAAGGAAAGAGGGCAGGCGGGATCAGCGCCGTCGCGGATTTCCACAGAGGCGCCGGGGATACAGTGCTTCGTTGGTTTCGATAGAAAACACTCAGAAAGCGGGTGTATATACGTACGTACCCTATCCGCGTCCTCGGGCGGGGTAGGCTGCTTACTGCCTCACATAGTTCTTCGCCGGGCGCTCTTAGGCTAGACGGTGCGCCATCGTGGACAGGATCGGGCGGGAGGTACACGCGGCCAAGTTGAGATTGCGGACGGCCCTGTGAGGTGAGGAGTTGATCAGTATGCATGCCTAAAATAAAAGACGGGAAGAAAGGGCACGGGTTTTGGATTTTGGTGCACAAGCCATATGCATTGTGCGCTTGACGCGCCCAGGTCTAGTTGAGGGACCGCCCGCCTGCAGAAAAAAAAGACCTGACTCGAGGGAGGATACACAAGGCGGCGTACCATCTTGGTATACTGCACCTTCTCGCGGAATTGAACTGACGCTGCTGCGCAAGTCGGCGTGGTTTAGTCTGAGAATGCCAGGGACGGGACGGGAGATGGAGTCGGCGGGGAGTTCGGTGTCTTTCTGGTTCTGGTTCTGGTTCTGGGGCGCGGGGTTGGTGAAGGGCGTGATGTTCAGAGGCAGAGGTAGGGAGGTGGGTGTCAGTCAATGTTCACGTTCGGGAGCGAAAGAGTTTGGTTCTGATTTCATTTGGACGCGTACTATGCTACAAGGATCCTAGGGTACATTGCCGGGCCATCTCGAGCTGTAAACCATTCATTAGCCCCAATCAAACAACGAACATGCCGCGCACCTGCTCATCCGTGCGACACACTAGCAGGCGTTTACTTCTTGACCCCGCCTCACCTACATCACCTGTATCAACCCCTGCTTCACCGATATCAACCACCACCCCCTCCGTCGCATCCACACCCGCGTTCCTCCCCTCGTCCATAGACACGTACCCCAAACACCCCACGCGCTCCGCGATCCGTGCGCGCAGCTCCTTGCTGCGCTCGCCGATCCCGCCCGAGAACACCAGCGCGTCGACGGCGCCGCCCAGTTTCAGGTGGTACGACCCGACGTAGTTGAGCACGCGGTCCGCGAAGAGGTCAAACGCCAGCTTTGCCTCCTTGTCCCCCTCCCCCGCCCGCGTCGTGATGGCGGCAAAATCCGTCGTCCCCGCCAACGCCTTCCACCCCGCCTGCGTATTCAAAATATGCTCCGCCTGCGTGACATGCAGATTCACCGCGGCGGTCTTGTCGTGGGACATGCGGCCGGCCTTGTTGGTGTAGTGGAAGATGAGGGAGGGGTCGATGGCGCCGGAGCGCGTGGCGCCGGGGAGGCCGTTGAGCGGGGTGAGGCCCATGGAGGTGTCGAGGGAGGAGCCGTGGTGGATGCAGCAGGCGGAGGCGCCGGAGCCGAGGTGGAGGACGATGAGGTTGAGGGAGGTGGGGGGCTTTTGGAGGAAGCGGGAGACGGAGCGGAGGATGAATGAGTCTGGGATGCGCAAAAGTCAGCTTGGGGGCAGATAGATTGATGAGGGGAGGTACAGCTGAGGCCGTGGAAGCCGTATTTCTTGAGGCCGCGCTGTTTCGCGACTTTCTGGTCGATGGCGTAGCTGGCGATATGGGGCGGGATGGAGCGGTGGAAGGCGGTGTCGAAGAAGGCGATTGACTTTGCGTCGGGGAGCTGGGAGAGACACGTCTTGATCACGGCGAGGGACGCGCCGTTGTGGCTGATGGCAGATGAATGATTGTAGTATTACTGCTGGGAAGACATACAGCGGTGCGAGGTCGGAGAGGCGCTCGATGTGGTGGTACGCCTCGTCGTTGATCAATACAGGATCGGTGTAATCTCCACCGTGCACCACGCGATGGCAGACATGCGTGATCTGGGCGCGGTCGATGTTCGCTTCGTGGGCGAGGGTGTCGAGAAAATGCTGGAACGCGGAGGGGTGGTCGTGCACAGACTGCGGTTGTTCGTCTTTGCTGGTGCCGCCTGCGACCTTGAAGGTAAACTTTGCAGGGGGCGCAGAGATGTTTGAAATTGAGGAAGTGAGGATTAGCTGGACGGGTTCGGATTCGTGTCGGGTGCTGTAGAGAGTGATCTTGAGAGACGAGGAGCCGGCGTTGACAGATAACACAAGGTGTGTGGTTGACATTAAAGAGAGCAAGGCGCGTTAAGGCTATTAAAAGGGCTTAGGAGCGCATGACGGCCAGAAGAGTCTGCGTCATTCTGACGGAGAAATAAAATGCGCAGAATCTGGTGGCGGATAGGCCTAGAACAATTACAGGCCCAGAGCAGCGTTCGCCCGGACCAGTAGAGAAACAGAGAACAAATCTGAGCCCGTTCAACTTGCGCCTGCCGCTCTAGACTCTCCAACGCAAATCGCCATCACGATAATGACGGTCTAGATTCCCGCTATGACGCGCGCGTGATAATTGGTCCCTATAAAATGGACCCGAGGGCCAATCCGAATCCCAACCAATCCAATGCCTGGCCAAATCCTCCTCCAAGCAAATCCCCCAGCGGATCCCTCTCTCTTGCCTCAGTCTGTCCTCACATTGGGCGTCCAGCTAGACACCAAGGACTACCTCCCCAAGGATGAACTCAAAGCTATCAAGATGTTTCGTCGGTAATAAATCTACAAATCTCCTCACCCTCCTCCCTAAAATCGGTCATTCGAACAGTACGGCCGACTATATCGCCGCCGCTATGATTTTCCTCAACCACAATGTCCTCGTCGAGCGCGATATCACTCACGACGACATCAAGTCTCGTCTTTTGGGCCATTGGGGAACCTGCCCTGGTCTTGTCATGGTCAGTCCTTGTTTATCGTATGCTATATAGCCCTCCAACTCGTTCCAGGTATATGCGCACCTGAACAGGCTCATCCGGAAAAACAAGGGTCTCGACGCGTTATATGTCGTAGGACCAGGTAGGTCTAATGCATTTTTTCGATCGCTATCTAACTTGTCCAGGTCACGGTGCCCCCGCCATCCTATCCTCCCTTTGGCTCGAGGACTCGCTCTCCGTATTCTATCCCCAAATGACTCGCGACCGCAAAGGTCTTCACAATCTCATCGCCAGTTTCAGCGTTCCAGGCGGCTTTCCCAGGTAGCTTCTTTCCATTCCGACGTATAGACCAAATCTTCACCCCGGTCAACCAGTCATATTAATGCAGGCACACCCGGTGCCATACATGAAGGCGGAGAACTTGGCTACGCCCTCAGTGTCTCTTTCGGTGCCGTCATGGACAACCCAGACCTCGTTGTAGCCTGTGTCGTACGAACATACCGTTTATAGTGTCTACTATTCTAACAAACATTTCAGGTCGGAGACGGCGAGGCTGAGACCGGTCCCACTGCGACCGCGTGGCACGGCTTCAAGTACATCGACCCAGCAGAGTCCGGTGCAGTCCTCCCCATCGTGCACGTCAACGGCTTCAAGATTTCCGAACGCACCATATATGGTACCATGGACGACAAGGAAATCACCGCCCTCTTCACGTATGATCATTCCCTCCCACCTTCGCTCCATTAGCTCATAGCATCCCTTCACAGCGGCTACGGCTACCAAGTCCGCATCATCGAGGACATCGACAACATCGACAACAATCTCGCCGCCTCGTTCGACTGGGCCCTGTCCGAAATCAAGAAAATACAGACCGCCGCGCGCAGCGGTAAACCCATCGTCAAGCCGCGCTGGCCCGTCCTCATCCTCCGCTCGCCCAAGGGCCTCGGCGGGCCCAAGTCGTTCCACGGCGAGTTCATCGAGGGCTCGTTCCACTCCCATCAGGTGCCCCTCCCCGGCGCGAAGACCTCCGACGAGGAGCTTGCGGCGTTGCAGGCGTGGCTC